AACCTAACTGCCCATACGATTCTCTCAGAAAGTGCTCATGTACATGCAACATGGTTCCCTTGATCCTAACACACACACACACAAACACACACACACACACCATTAACGCCTTCACTTGCTGTCGCGACGACAGGACCTGGACCAGGCTGACACTTTTCTTTCGGCTGAATACCAATTTCGGTTGCCCATTAAGACAATTGGCTCTGGCAAAACCAATTTCTGATAAGCCTCTTTTGCTTAAAAGCCAAATTATGATATTTTCTACTCCTTTTTTGTTTTCTTTGCTTTTTGCCAATAAGGAGCCGAGACCCAACCCCGGAGAATGTAATTTCCCCAGACGCGAAACCTTTCTGCAGAGCAAAAAAAAAAAAAAATAAAAATACCCGGCAAAGGTTTTTTTTTTTCTTTTTATTCGCCTCCTTTATGGCTTTTTATTGAACAAAGCCCCTGAGGGACTATTTGGCGAAATAAAAATAAAGGTATAATATACTCAATATTATTGTCGCTGCGGGTCCAAGGTCCAAGGCCTACCCTTTGACTTTGAGACTAAATTAACAACCAACTGGCATGCGGCATGGGGCATGCGGCAAGCGGAAAATGGCACTAGCAATGGCAATGGCTATGGCCATACACCGAGTAATTTAAAATAAATTATTCAGAAATGTATTTGTGCATTCAAGTGCGCTTGTTGTCATTTTTGCCTTCTGCCAACGGCTCTGCAGAGACTCTGCAGCGTGGCGGAAAATTGGAAGCTCTAAGCTGGCAAAATATTATTACGAAATATGGAAAAATACTCTTCCATGTGGGAGTTGCGGAAAATGGCAGAGGATTTTGAGTTTAAAATTGTCAAAGAAAAGGGCAACAATAATTTTGAATATTTGAAACAGGAGGATTCTTTTGAAGCAGATGATGATTCTTTCGAGTCTTTAAAATGAACAAAAAAGCATTCAATAATGAACCCTTAAATATTTAAATAATAAGTATTTATCACATTTATTTATTTCCAAAAAAAAAAAGTTCTCCAAATGCAACAGTTTTTAATTACCAACAAAACTAGATCCTTAAGCTGCTAACGCAAATTATCCTTTGATACCAAAACTTTTACCCAAATTTTTCTATAATATTTCAAGTCCTAATTCCGAGCACCCGCACAAAAGACGAGTGTATAATAATCACATTATTATATATCCTGCGATTGGAACTACGACAAAGGACACAGCCGCACCAGCACCAGCACCAGCACCCCAACCCACACACAAAAGGGACGCGGCGAGGACCAGGAGCAGGACCATAAGGATTGGTGCTCCAGGGCTGAAGCTCTGGAGACGGTTTTTATTAAAATAATAAAGTTCTAATTTAATTATGACGCGAACAAAATGAAGTACGAGTCGTCCTGGAGAGAGTTACTTTTCATTTGATAACTCTCACGTACCCCGCGCACCTCACCCCACATCTGGTCCTGTTCCTGTGCGGACCACCACCTCGCAATATCCCTGCAGGCTCTAATTAGCAGGCGGCGGCCGTATAACCGAAAAATCAACGCGAAAAAGGCAAGAAGGGGCGGTACCCCAGGGCAGGGGCACAATAAAGGACCATAAAGTGCTAATTGAATAAAACGGCACATGACTTGCATAACTTATTGTGAGAGAAGAGAGAAATATATATTCTAGCCACTCGGTAATGCAGCAAAGGAAGGGCCAAAAGGATCTCCAGGAATAGAGCAGGATTCACCCAGAACCCAGAACCCAGAACCCATCCTCGCCTTGGGCATAATATTTATTTTCATAAATTTAAAGCATGGCGAAAAATGCTCCTACCCGAAGAAGAAAAAGAGTGAAAAAAATAAAACGAGGGAAAGACGTTTAGAGACGGGCACCCAAAAAGGATATTTCGCTGGCGGAAATATATTTTACGTTTCGTTTAACGCGCCAAAGATGGCGCCAGTCTGCAGAGGGGCCATCCCTTCTCTTTCTCTTTTTGTTTTGGCGGGGGCGGGGGAGCCCCGGACAAAAGTTACCCACCGGCCCACGTAAAACTAATTTAACCCGCAATTCCTCCTCCTTCATGCCCCTTCCACCCCGCACTTTTTTGGCCACTTTGGTTCGTGTTGCGCCAAATTAGTCTGCCTCCACATCCGACTCTCAGAGAGAGAGAGAGCGAACGAGAGAGAGAACATAGAAAAAAACGAGAAAGAATTCAACAAATATGCAGGGAGTATGCTATAAACATATATACGTATACGTATATATACATATATATGTACATATGTATATAGCAACTGTAGTACAAATGATTTTACCTTGGGGAAATGCATGTTACAGTTTTTAATTTGCATTGCCTGAGGCCATCCACAAAAGGCGATGGATAGTTGGCTTTCGGTTTGGCTTTGACTTCAGGGTTTTCGGGTTTCGTTTTTAGAAGTTTGTGGGGCTTGCCTTTTGTTTAATTTGTTCAGGGGGGCATGTGGAAAATACTCATAGAGGGCGAGGAGAGTTTTTGTGAGCCAGGATATGATGTGGAAGAGATATGATGGGGAAATTCTAATTAAATTAGCAGTAGAATTGCGGGAAAACGGACGAATATAAGCACAGGATGGATGGCCACCAATGAGCGTCAAGAGTACTGGAGTTGTCAGAAGCTAAAATTGAAGCTTGGGTATCGGAAAAATCTTGAGAATCTTGAGAAGAAGTAATGGGAATAGTACAGGGAATCGCATGAATATAAATTGATTTGTACCATTCATATACATAAAATGGATAAAACTGAACCATAAATCATACAAGTTTCCCTGCAACTATGCATCAGTTCTCTATATATCTTAATACTTCTAAGAAATGTCCTTCAACTTTAAAGCAAGAACCCTGAACCTAGTTTTCCGTGAGCTCTCTTTTTCGCTTGACCTTTCCTCTTATCTCTCAACTCAGATCCAACCTTTTCTTGTTTTGTTGAGGCAGCCTAAGCTGCCTGCTCAAGTTAAACATCTGCCATAAAAAATGACTTCATCCCGCTAATCTTAGGGCATTTGAAAGTCAGTCGAGTGCTTTCATGGGGCCTGTCGTGGCTGGGTAGGCTGGCAGGCAGCTTCAGTAGTCAATTGTTTGGCGGGGGCCTGTCATTAAGCGTAAGCGACCATTTCATTAGCATTGCGGCTCCATAACCCATGGCGAGAGAGCGAGAGAGGGAGGCCTGGATCCCCCCACCCACACAGCATTCAAAATCCAACAGCCAATGTTTTTTTTTTGTTTTTTTGTTATGCGAGAGTATACGAGCTATGATGCTGTTGCTGTTGCTGCTGTTGCTGTTGTTGGTTTGTGTTTTCTTGTCATGCTCAACACGTTCCAATTGTTAAAGCCCTCCTCTCCTCCTCCACCCTCTGGGATACTAGGTGGTGGTGGGAGGGGGGGTGGCATGCCCTTGCCATGACAGCTCTGATGGGCATGTCGTCAAAACATTTGTCCGATCATCGCGTCCCATCAATGGATGGATGGCGCGTCCTGCCAATTGAAATGATGTCCTCTCGCCGCCCCCATGGTGCAGGTGCAGGTGCTGGTGGTGCACACCTCTTGTACTATCGCCCTGTGTGGCCTGTTGGAACACCTTTTGTATCTCTGCCATCGCATGGAGCAGCTCTCTGCCCGCCTGCCCCTCTTTTGGGGCTGTCAACGTGGTGGCCAGGCCAGCATTATTGATGCCCTTTTAAAAGGCACACTTTAATGCATATTAATGTCAATATTAATGTCAATATTTGAGCTTCTAATGACCAGAAAGCCCTGGTGCTGGTGCTGGTGCTGGTGCTGATGGTCTGTTTCCTGCTGCTGCTTTTGGCAGCTTTTTTGTTGTTTGTTAGTTTTGTTTGATGTGTCAGCAGAGAGAGAGAGAGAGTGTGAGAGAGAGGGATCAGCGTACTCTAACGATGCGGCGCGACCTGTGACCTGACATTGAGCATATAATTATAATATTGCAGGGATGCTTGATTAAAGGACACTCGTAGGACATTTTGTTGACATTTGGAAAGTTTTGCTCCTCCGCTAGAAACTTTCGTGGCAAGGTGAACCTGAAGCCGGACCCCGTTTCTCCTCTCCTCTCTTCTCCACTGCACTCCTCTACACTGCTCTCCCTCTGCTCAAAAGTCAAACGTTAACTAAGCGCCCAAAAAACTTGTGACACAAAATGCGTCGAAGCGTAAGTAAACTCCTAAGAAATTCAAATGAGCGTAAACAGGGGAGCAGAGAGCAAAACAGCAGCAGGAGCAGGGGAGCAGCAGGAAAAGAATGAAAAGCAGATGGAGGAAGCCGCTCAAAAAGGTAGACTAGAATTTTAATAAATGAAGTCGCTTCACCTTTCAAGAACTTCTCGGGTTAGCACAAGGCACCAGTCAAATGGATGGATGGCTCTGCCTGGCTGCCGGGCTGTCCTGGCTGCCGGGCTGCCTGGCTGGACACAGGGACAGTGGCACATGTTGAATAGATGAAAGATAGAAGCAAAGCGAAGAGTTCTTAAAGGGCAGCAGCATTATCCTTGGCAACATTACTCTACTGTACCTTAAATTAAAGGCTAGGAAAGGTTAAGTGGTTCTTTAAGGGGTGGATGGGGGGGGGTGAGAAAAGCCGAAAGATAATCTCTTAAGGGTGTTGGTATTTGGGGCTTAGAGAGAGGTTCTCAGGGTCTTAAATTCCTACGATTTGTGTGACTGAGCTTCAAGTGAAAACTCTCCTACATTTAATCACTGAAAGAGACATTTAATTTCTATGTTTGGTTTCTTTCCACATGCCACAAGCGACATGCGCTCCAAAGAGCAGCTCTTTCTGCAGCTATAATCAGAGCCTGTAGCTGTAGCTGTGGCTGTGGCTTCATTTGATTCAATATCCTTTTTATACACAGCACAACAATGGTTTCAATTGTTCCATTGTTGCCCCCGTAACTCTATAAAATATATAGTAAAACTCTCTCTCTTTGTGTGTGTGTGTGTGTGTAGAGTAGAGCTGAGCCAGAGTACTTACCATCTTTAAGGGAATACCGTGGATTGCTCATATCAACCTTTGTCTGATTCTTAATCCAGTAAATGTTTGGCGTCGGATTGCCGATGGCTTTGCATGTCATGAGCACCGTGTGACCCACTTCAATGACGCGTGTGCCCGGTCCTTGGGTTATAACCGGAAAGCCTGCGGGTGTTTTATCGCCTGCAACGAAAACAAAAAAAAAAAAACAAGATAGAGTCACAGAAGAGGTTAAAAATTATCATGTTGCAAACAAAAAATATATTCACACACATACACATGCAAGTGGTGTACAGTTAAGGATAGTAAAACGGTGGATGGGGGTGGTGCCTGGATCTAGGAGTTTTTGGACAAACAATATGTGGCCCCCTCTTCCTTTCTCCCCCCTCTCTCTGTCTGTCTGTCTGTGCCACACAAAGTATTGTTTTACATGACTCTTTTATATACGGAAGTTGCCGTTTTCGTGCGTGTATGTTTGTGTGTGGAAAAGCTTCGGTTGCGTCGTTCCCTTTGTTGGCGCTTTCTACGCCATTTTGTAAGTCAAACAATGACTTCCACACACACAAACACACATACTCATACACTCATACACGCACACACGCTTATGCATATCCATGTGTGTGAGGTCAGCATTTACCCCGCCGCTACACTCCTTCTCCACTGTGTGACATTTTCTTTTGTTGCAGCTTAAAAGGAATTTCATTTTTGTTGGGTCTCTCATTCTCTCATTTCTTTTTTTTTCCTGCTTGTTTTGTTTGCAAAAAGCTTTAAGAAAATTCTCGCGGTGGACTGCCAAAAGTGGCTGCGGATCCTGGACCCTAGGACTCCGAGAACTCCAGCTGCCAGTGTCATCCGCTCGCTCGCTCTCAACTGCATCTTTCAAATGAACAAAGCTCATTTACATTTTCCAATTAAATCCGGCGGAGCAGCGGCCATGGCAATTGGCGCAAAAGGCAGAGCGAGCATCCGCCCCACAAACAGCCCCAAGGGGACAAGGGGGGCCACGTGGAGGATGTGAATGTGAATGTGGATCTGGATTGCGGATGAGAAGCTCTGGCGGATGCGAATGGGTTCCCCTGTTCCACTGCAAGTGTCTCCGGCAGTGGCAGCAGCAGCAGCTGCCGCCATTGCAAAACCATCTGCCCAGCTGTTGTTGCCCGTTATGTGGTGCCTCGGCACTCTTTTCTTGGCAACGAGGGTATTATGCGTATTTGGAAAGGTTTTGGCAAAGCGCAGAGAGCGAGAGAAAGACTATCTGAATTGTGTCGCGTCGATTTAGTTTATGTTAAAATCACAGCATCGATCAGGAAGGGTATTGGCTAGGGGTACTATGTATGGTAAAGCTAGCAGTTTAATCGCGTTTAAATTATTTCAATCTTCAGTTGCCATATTAAAACCATTTTATGTCTGCGTTTTCCTCTCCCTAAAGTTTTCATCTTTTGCAGCGTAAGAGTATTTGCAAGTCATGGCCACTTTATTTGACTTTTTCAACTGCCCTTGTTTTTTTTTTGTTTTCTTTTTTTGGGCATTTACTAAAACATTTAACAGCAACAAAATCCACAATAAACGGGCAGAAGTTAGCTGCTGTTGCTGTTGCAGGGGCCTTTATCCTTTCGCTGCTCTCTGTCTCTCTGTTAACTATTCCACGGTGTGTACCGCCCCCCCACGGTGCCCCCTGCTGGGCAATGCCTGCTCCTCCTCCTCCACTCTCTCACTTAGTTGTTTGTGCTGCTGCTGATTCCTGCCTCTGTGTTTGTGTGTTTTTCAGCGTGAAATTAAAATTTTAACACAGAGACAAAAAATGCGGTTGCTTCCCTATACATATAAAAGCACATATGTATATGAGTGCATCTGTGTGTGCATTACATATACAAATGCATAGTATACAAAAAAAAACAAAAATAAAGAAGAGCAGCATAAAACGGCTACCATTTGGAGACCGAAGTTGTAGATGCTCTTGAAGGGGTTTTGTTGTAGAAATAAATATGTTGGCTCAGCTAGCCAAACAAGTTGCAACGCAACTGTAGTTTGGCTGTTTGAACACCTGGCTTTCGAATTAAATTATTAATGCTAGACGCAACGCGCATTTTGGGTGCATATTTCCAGGAAATTTGTGGAAAAAGAGAATAGAACTATAATCCGGAAGGTTTCGTATTAAATCTGTAAAAAAAGACTAGCTAGTCTTTTTTCCTACATCAAAAAAATGGATTGTTGCCATGATCTAATAATAATCAGATTTTGATACATTTTTGTGGTAATAAATAATAGATAACAATAAATAAAAATAATCTATGGCTAGGGCCTATAAGTGCTGATATCTCTCTTTATTTGCCACATGTTTTAATAATCGCAATACTCTCTCAAAGAGTATGCCGAAAAGAATAAACAGCAACACCATTGATGTTGACATTTGACGTTGAAATCATCATCATCATCATCATCTACACGTCATGGCCCGCTTTCCGGCAGCAGCATTCATTTGGCCTGGCTCTCTCTCCGTCTCGCTGTCTCTCGCTCTGCTGCAACGTATTGTCTGTTGCCATTTTCAGTCATTTTTACCCTTAACCCTTTATCACTCCACCAGCCCCCCTCCGCCCCCTAGGAAATGCCACTCCTTTTCGCTGTTTCGCTGGTTTATTTATTATTGCAGTGTGACATCAACCCATCCTGCGCATCTCCACACACAAAATGCATAACGAAACCAAGGGATTTCGAGCAGAAAAAAAAACATGTGCGTAAAACAACCAAAAGAAAAATAATGAAAAACTGTGCCAAAATTAACAAAAAAAAAAAAAATAAATAAAACGGGGCTACATTTTTATTAAACAATGTAGAAAAGTGCATTCTATTTGGCTAACAAATGTGCGGCACACGCACACACCACACACACAGATGACAAAAAGAGAGTCAGCGAGGCATATCTGAGCGCTGTTAAAAAAAAAGAGGATTTTCCAAAGGATAATACGAGCACAAGTTTTGGGAATTGTTGGCAGTCTTCTTTGTATGTAGGAAATTACCCAGTGCTCCAAACAATGGGAAATAGGAGAGAGAATCGACAGAGTCAGAGCAATGGAAATGCTGGCTCGGCGTTGAGCTATTTAATAAACTTTTTCTGGTTCCGCTGAATGCTTAAATCTTTCCCTGAACCTATCCAAAATGCACTTTCCATCACGCAATAGCACAGACACACTCTATGGATAGATACAAAAGCCATAGACCCACACTTTATGACAGGCGATAATGCATTTCATAGGTTAATAGGCGCTGGCTGACTGCCTGCTGGCTGCTGCGTGGCAGTTGCAGGCCTCAGCAGAACAAAACAAAAAAAACAAACACTTTGAAAGCCCTTCATTATGTGACCAACAATTTCATAGGCCCTGTTCCCGGCAACATTTCACACTAAACACCAAAGTGCTGTTCGGAAAATGCAATGGAAAAGGAGGCTGGCACTGGCAGTGGCACTGGCACTGGGCCCAACAACACTTCATTTACAGCATTAGAGAGCGGGAGCGAGAGCGAGAGCGGGAGCGGGAGAGAACCAAAAAATGCAACGCATGGATGGCGACCAATATGTGAAGAGGCGACAGTGCGTATCCAGTGCGCGCTGGTAGGACATGGTACAGGATATGGGGGCTGGCTAGCTGGCCAGCTGGCTGTTCTGGTTGGGTGTGGGTGGTGGGTGGTTGGGTGGTTGGGTGTAGTGCGTTTATTATAAAGCCAAAAGCGGCAGGAGTCCTGGCTGTCGTTGACTGTCGATTTCATGTGACAATTTCATGCATTTCAATTAAGCTGCCGTCTGGGTGCGAAATGTGTGAACAATGCAGAAGGCAGAAGTGGTAGGAGGGAGACGACCCCGGGACACCCAGACGGCACACCCATCCCACCATACCTACAACCTTGTTGTTGTTGTTGTTGTTGTGGCTGAGTTCTCTGACAGCTCTTAATGAATTAGCTAATAAAAAGAGAGACCCCAGACCCCCGGCAACGACGACAGCACAGAGAACTACCAACACACACACACACACACACACACCTCAAAGGCAACTGAAAAAGTTGCTTTCATACAAGAGCGTGTGGTATGTCTTGGAACGATAAACATCATTAGACGGTACAAAGGGATCGGCACAAAAGGACTTTATTTGCATGTTGTCTGCTTTTTTGTAGGTGCCACTGACCCCCAGCCCCGTACAGTGAAAAGAAGACATCTGTCAGGTGTGTTGCCTTATCGAGTGAGTGGCTCCCTTTTGAAAAGACGCATTTTCACACATTCACGGGGGGCATACAGGCATACAGGCATACAGGGCGAAAACATCTCGGGGGAAAATCGCCAGTCAAAGAGATGGAAATATGTTGTTTGCTTTGTGGATGGGTCCGCCTGCTTGGACACTGCTTGCGGATGAATGTCATTCAGCGGAGGTGTTGGCTTGGCAAACATTTGCCCCACCCCCCCAAAAGCAGCAGCAGCCACCACCCCAAAATGCTTAAAGCAAAACTCTCAACTTTTTGACTTTAAAGAAGAGACGTCAGAGAGCAGCCATGTGTCCCTGCCTGCCCGCCTTTCCTTCGCAGAGAACATAAATTTGCATATTTTAATTATTCATGCATTTTTAAGATTGATAAGAAATGTTGTGGCCACCAGGCAGGACAGCGCAGAGCACAGGGCGTGCCCTGAGGCAAGTGAAAAGACCGAACCGAAGCGAACCAAAGCGAACCAAAGCGAAGCGAACGTTTTTCCATTGGTCAGTGAAGGAAAATCTCTTCAAATTTTTGACCGCAACTCGCAGGGGACGAAAGTGGTGAACTAAAGAGTTGAATATCATGAAATTGAATAGGTTTAAAGTTTGGTTTTAGTTTAGTTTAGTTACACTACGAGAATTCTCGTGCTGAAGGTTGAAAGTAAGGATAATTTAGAGCTGGTAGATGGCTGATTTGATTGAATTTTCTGGCACGTTTCCCACTGGAAAAATGATCAACAGACAGATCATTCAATCCAGGCGGTACTTCCCTCCTAATCCGACTGTCCCACTGCCTTCTCCTCCCTTCAATGTGACACTCCAAAAAACTTTATTTTTAGTTTTAGAAAAAATCTAACCCAGCAATCATTTCGCCAGCAAAACAGGAAAAAAAATCAGAAGAAAACCAGAAGAGAAATTCAAGACAAGAGCCCAAATCTCGTGTCAAGC